GAAACAACAAAAACAAATATAGAGCCCATACACTTCACGTGAAGATGGAGGACCAGCGAAGCTGTTATCTTTACGATAACGTTACGACACCTATACGACATTTATATGACTTGCATATGATTGCAATGGAGAGGCGTACATGACTTCGTTGTTTAATTGTCTATTTTTAATTCTTAGTGACTATGCTGATCATTGCCTTATGGTCACTATGGTAAACCACCATTGGTTGTATCTTGACTTCTGATACGTTCTTGCTAAACGTGATGTAGACACACGTTTTGTTGTTGGTCGTCGGTATACGAATACGTGTTGATATACGACTATTCTAGGTTTTACAGTGACTTGGGGGGGGGGGGGGGGGGGGGGGCTCTTTTTCAGCGATGCTGATAAAAAGCACAAGTCTCTTTATTGCTCCCCCCTCTTTTCCTTTTATTTATACTTGCCATGACCGATCGGAACGAAGGTGCCCGTTTAAACGGGAGTTTTTTTTTTTTGTTAGCATCCATGGACGCATTTTTTTCAAGATCCTAAAACATAACAGAATGACGAAGATAATCCCTGGAGAAGGGGAGCACGAGGGACAAAGGACAAACACAAATCTCCAAATACAGCTAATTGACTGGTGCGCGACCGAAAAATCCGCCTGGTCCAGAATCCAGGCGAATTTTTCCACCTGGATTCGCGCACCAGTCAATTAGCTGTGTTGGGAGATTTGTATTTGTCCTTTGTCCCTCGTGTTCCCCTTCTCCAAAGATTATTTTCGTCATTCTTGTCCAGCTCGCTTGCACCTTCGCATTCAATTGCATTTAACACATGAAGAGCTTCGCTGTAAAAAAAGAAGAAAGAGCAGGGATACCCTTACCCCCCTAGATTGTGCCTACTTAACAAAAATAAAAAGAAAAAAAGAAAAAGAAAGAAAGAAAGCGTTTTTCTGATTTCTTAGAAAACAGCGAAGTTAGAATGTTTCATTATGTGTGGAAACCCTATAAACACAGATACCTTGGGGCAAGGGAGGGCTCCAGAAGGAGGGCGAGGGGGATGCCGAACCTTTCGTCCTAGTAATAAGGTGAGCCTGATAACAGGTAGTTTGGGTAGATCGTTCCGATTACCTCGATGACGCTTTTGCGCATGCATCGTATCGTTATCGGAGGTCTCAGAACGAGTTACTAAAACTCTCTACAAGTTAATCATCCTCGCCCCGTTTCATATTATTTTGAAAGCGTTTCTATAGAATTCTGCGCTAAAATAGAATCGCTATAGTCAGATAGATGTAAAGAACGCAACAACCTCCCCTCTCCCCCCCTCCCCCCCCCCCCCCCCCCCCCCTGCCCGGCTTGTTCTGGCATTCTTATTAGCGCCTGCCACTGGAGGTGTAGCCAGGGAAACGTTGCGTTGAGGTCACGCAATTCGCCATGGCTACTGCTTTTCCTAGTTGGTGCACGGAGCAATTCGATGCCGTGGCTGGTGCGTGGTGTTGTTATTATGGTACACGCTTAACTTGTATCCAACTATAGGGAGCGCGCGACACCTAAAGGGAGCGCACCGATCCAACTGATGTGCACGCCAAAGGACTCTGTTGGGAGCCGCACCGCGGCGCCGCTGTCTTGTCACACGCTTCCCATTGTTAA